GTCAAGCACAGGGTCTGAGCATCACCACTCCCACACGCTACATCTATAACACGATACGCTTTCAGCGCTTCAACCTGAGAAAATAAAATTTGTTGAGTAACTTACAGATTATTCAGAATGAAAAGTAATTGAAGATGACAATTTACTATCAATTTTAACCATTCTGCTGACAGAATATTCAGTGGTCATTGACATAAATTGATTATATTGACACCTTTAGAAACGAGACAGTTGGACAAATTATGTAAAATACAGTATTATTATTATTATTGTATACTTATATAGCGCATATCAAACTTCTCTATGCGCTGAACATTATTACCCCGGATCACTGGATCAAGCACATATGGAACACACACTCAGGCCCCATAGGGGAATTCCATATTGCAGCTGTATTCAGCGCAGGCTGTGTTTGAACCTACCAGGTACCCACTTTTACTCCTGGGTGGAGAGAGACAACCGTAGATAAAGTGCCTTGCCCAAGGACACAAGCGACTTGCACAGCGAGAGTTTTGGACCCCCGACCTCGAGGTTGGGAGTCCAAACCACAACCGATGCGCCAACCACTTCTACAAGTAGTATTATTTAGGCCTATATTCACAATGAAAGCTGTGATTATAGGTATAGATGGTGTGCTAGGATTAACAATTCATTACTTGCGAGGGGTATTCTAGTTAAGGTAATAACAGCAAAAGTTGGTTTAATAAATGATTTTCTTTTATTTTATTTACATCCAACGGCAAGTAGGTTACGTATAACAGGATGAACAATGCTTTATGTACAAGTCTCTTTACGAGGCGCAGGGAGTGGAATTAGAAGGCAAGTAGTGTTACCGTGAAAGAGCCAATATGAAATTACCACTAGCAATATGGACTTACTAGCTTAGGCCTGTTCTGGTCCTCACTATCTCCATGGCCAAGCCTACCATACCGGCCCTTTCCCCAAGTGTAGAGCTCTCCATTTGATGTTATGCATGCGCTGTGTGCTCCACCACATGAAACCATAACAACCTCCTTTCCACGCAGTGTTTCAATCACTCTAGGTCGGTCACATTGCCTGTTGAAATGTATCAACGTAGATAAAATTAAACAAATCAATAGGTAGGCTTCCGCCCGGACATGGTTACGGGAGTAACTACAACTCTTTGTTATACAACAATAGAATTCTCCGGAAAGTTTTCTCACATCTATAATAGACAAAAGTGAGAAGGAAACAAGGATATTGTACATTCACGCAGGATGTATATAGACGAGCTAGGGCGAATCCATTATATTTCTTTAATGCTCAAGAGGTAAGTTCCAAAGAAAACTAAGGCATTTATTGGTTTATCGAGGTAAGTATTCACGAAAAAGACTATGTAAGATAGAATAGGAAAGTATTTTTTCTTATATTTTTGGTGTGAATCACATCAAATCATGGATATCCCACTAAAGTTGAAGACTATTTTGCAGTGGAGTCTTTCAGGTGTTATACTATCTCGTATGTAAAAATATAGGCCAATTGTTTATTGTTTCTGGTGGTTATCGGGCAATAAAACAGGAGGCAATCCCCACCCTTTTCCTAAGAATGTATTGCGTTACATAAATGATAATTGGTATTTGGCCTGTTTATGTTAATTATTCAAGGTTGTAGCTTACGTTCTATTGCCATGGCCAAGCTTGCCATCTTCCGCCTCCCCCCAAGAGTAAACCTCTCCTTCCACTGACAGAGCAAGAGCATGTTTTCCACCTGAGTTCACTGCTACCATCTTAATCACCACATGTTGAATTGACTCCAGAAGTGTCGGTGTCGATACAGAATCGGTGCCACCAATCCCCAGTCGTCCTCCTGCGCCGTATCCTGTGGCATACACCTTCCCATCGGAAGTGACAGCAAATAGCGTCTGCTCTCCGCCGACAATCTGGACAGGTCGAAGAGCTGTGAATGATTCTATTGCGCTTGGTACTTTAACCTTTGCCCCTTCAATTCCTCCAAGTTGACCTCGATGATTGTGACCCCAACCATAGATCGTGCCACTTCCACCCCATGATAATATCCAGTCATCAGGCCGCCTAATTTAGGAGAAAATATAAGTCTTATTAGTGAAAAAGTCTATAGTGACTAATACAAAGTAGTAAAAATAGTAAAAAATGCAGTAACATGTCGGTCATTCAACCCACCATTTTCTCTTGTCACACTGCTTTCCTTAGTATATTTAGCATGACAAAATTTAACACATAAAAAAATGAATAAATATATACAAGTAATCAAAATTGTTGGATGGATCAGACTCAGTGAATATGGTTTTAAAATAATAAGAGCAGGATAACAATAAATACCTATCCCCATTAGAGGGCGCTTTACCTGCTCATCCACAAGAGAAGCTGTTGATCTTGACCTTGTTGGAATATCTGGTGGTTCTCGTGTTCCTGCATTAGACTGCTGCTGCCTTCCATACTGATCTCTTGGATTTTCTTGTTAACTTCTTCTCTGAAGCCTGGTGGCAGCGGCGTCCGGTCAGTTAATGACTTGGCCACTCGTGCCGCGGTGCAGTAACGCCTGAACCACGCCCAACGATGCGACTCGGCACATGTCTGAAGGCTGTCTAGCTTCAGGTCACATGCTAGAGCAACTAACACCTGTAACAATGGCAATAGTCAGCTTATACTAATAAGTATTCACAAAATAGACAGTAAACTTTGAACATGTACAAAAGTACAGCAGGTATACTATTTGTTTTAAAGTCAATTATTCAACAGACTAAAATAGACTTACCTTAAAGAATGGACTATGTAGTAAGTGTTTACCTCCTCTGGTTATAGGATCTTCATAGTCATACTGTCTATGAAGGGCATCAGGAAGCCCTTTCACTAGGGCTGCAAGAGCTGTTCCACTAAAAGCCTAGAAAAATAATAAAATTGTTTTCATAAGCTTGCAAAAACTCTCTATGAGTTTAAATTTGTACTTTAGTTACTAACATTG